CTTGCTGCTTCTAGGATTCTCTCCTTCATTTTAATCTTGGCTAATGTAATGATGACGTGCCGTGGTGTGTTCCTTCTTGGGTCCAACTTCTTTGGGACTCTCTGAGCTTCCTGGATTTCCTGGAAGTCTATTTCCTTTGCCGGATTGGGGAAATTCTCTTTTATTATTTGTTCAAATAAGGTTTCCACTCGTGGCTGTTCCTCTTCCCCTTCTGGTACCCCTATAATTCGGATGTTGGAACGTTTAAAGATGTCCTGAAGGTTCCTAAGCCTCTCTTCGTTTTTTTGAATTCTTGTTTCTTCATCCTTTTCTGTTTGGTCATTTTTTTCCTCTTTCTGGTCCACTCCTTTGATTTGAGTCCCAGTTTCCTTTCCATCACTATTGGTTTCCTGTGCATTTCCCTTCATTTCAATTAGTTTAGCCTTCATATGTTCCTCTAATTTGTGACTAAAATCAATCAATTTGTGACTAGTTCTGTGAGCATCCTGATCACCAGTGTTTTGAACTGTGCATCTGAAAGTTTGGCTATTTCTTCATGGCTTAGACTTATCGGCTCTGGGGCTCTGAGTTGTTCTTGAGCCATGTTTTGATCTGTTCGTGCCAGTTATGTATAAGGAGTGGAGCCTTCAGTGTTCACCCAGGTCGCTGGTTTGTGACTATGAATGTGGGGGTGGGGTCAGAGAGGGGCAATTGTGGTCCCCTCTGCCGCTTCCTGCCACTGGGCCCTGCACAGTCTGTCTCACCGCTCGCTCCTTCACTAGTTTATCTGCGCACGAATGTGTGACCTCGATCAGTCCTCAGTGGGTCCAGTGCCTTGTGCCCTCAGTGGGTCTGCCTGCTACTCCACACCTGGGATCCGCCTACGGCTGCCGGTGCACCTGCGACACGTGCCCAGGTGGGTCAGGTGGATCTTTCCTGCCTGACCCCACTCTACTGCTAGCTCTGCCCCTCTTACCAGTTTGGCTGAAGGGTTCGTTGTTGTCAGACTTCCATATAGTTCAATTTTCTGTGGTTTGGCTGCGTTTTTGTTGCTAAAACTATGTTGTTTTTAAACTTGGTTGTGCGAGGAGGTGCAGTGCTTCCACCTACGCCTCCATCTTGGCGGAAGTCTCTGTTTTTTTAGTTTTAAAATTACCAAAACATACCAGAATGTTTAATATGCATTAACATAACTGCAATATAAATTTAAGACTTGAAACATACATTTTATTACACTAAAAATATACAAACATTAATAAATTCCTTTAAACTGGAAATCACTGTTTACCTAATAAGAGACTGAATGTCAACTACATACAAGTATCACTCTATATAAAATAAACCTAGAAGACACTTCTTTGCATCGGAGGCCATTTTCAGAATACTTTATGAGTACAACAGGGACTATACGTTTCATCATATTCCTCAATACCTCTTGTCAAGGCGTATATGCAATGAATGCTAAAGTAGAAAAAAGTACACAAAACTACATTTCCAGATATCTAAACTATCTACCAGAAAATTTCAATTCATTTAAATATTAGGAGAGTTATTCACCAATTCCAATTCTGACATTCCAATCACTGAACATGCGAAACTTTATTTTAAAAAAGAAACCATACATTGTAAATGGAAGTTTAAATGGTATATCTTTCCTAACCCAACATTATGTCCATAACTAATTTATACAAGAATATTCATAGAATCTTTATACACAACAGCCCAAATCTGGAAATAGCCCAGAAGTACATCAAAAGATAAACCAACTGTGGTATATTTATACAATAGACACTACCCAGCAACAAAACGCAATGAACTACTGACAAGAAGATGGATGAACCCGAGTATTAAAAATGTTAAGCTGGGTGAAAGAACAGAAACAAGGGGTACGTACTGTATGACGTTCTAGAACAGGCAAAGCTTACTTGTGATTTTCTAAAAATTAGAATAGTGGTTGCCTAAAGTGCCAGAGGACTGATTACAAAAGGAGAGGAAGAGACTACGGGAGTGAGGGTAATGTTCTGACTTTAAGAGGGATTTAAGCTGCAAAGGTGTAGTTCAACTGTCAAAAAGCATCACTGAAGTTTTGTGCATTTCACTGTTTGTATATCTTACCTTTAAATATATATATACACAAATAAATATTGAACCCCAATTCATAATATTCGTGCTGAAGTGTTTAGAAGTATTCTAACTAACTCTGCAACTTGTTTAAGTTTCCTTTTAAAAATAAGTTGATGCCTGGCTGGTGTAACTCAGTGGATTGAGCGCGGGCCTGCGAACCAGACAATCGCGGTTTGATTCCCAGTCAGGGCACATGCCTGGGTTGCAGGCCAGTTCTATGCAAGCCAGTTCCCAGCAGAGGATGCATGAAAGACAACCATACATTGATGTTTCTCCTCCTCTCTCCCTTCCCCTCTAAAGATAAATAAAAATCTTTAAAAAAATAAAATAAGTTGATGGATGGATAAATGTATGATAAAGCAAATACAATAAAAAGTTGCAGGAATTTCAGTGATAGACATATGAATGTTTACTGTAAAATACTTCTGACTTTTTCTATATATTTGAAGACTTTCTTAATCTCTGTAACACAAGTGAATTTACACGTAATTTTAAAACCTGAAAACATTTAGACTTAAAATTGTTTGGGCTGACTTGGGTAGTATTTTTATCTTATTTATTTATTTTGCTTTCCACTATTTAGAAACCAATTAAAAACTAAAAATAAGATTCATATTTTAATTATTAGTTTTAATCAAATCAAAATCATATGCAAATCAAATCAAAATGCAAAGATTTAGCAAACTGTTCATAATTAACTAGGTTGCATATTTTAAGCATTTAGTCCTTTGTATTAAATACTGCAACCGTATTTCATCTAATTATTTTTAAGTATTTACAATCAAATTTACTATCAAATATTTAATTGATTTTGAGAATTTGTGCTCTTAATATTTGAAAAATAAATATATCATTTAAACATGGTCCATTTGGTACCTACTATAACATAATCACCTAGATAAATTTATTTCGATTATGCCTCATCATTAAAATTTTACCTCAGCAGAACTGAATTCTCTGTCTTATGACACAAAAAGCAAGTACACACAAATCAGTACAATGTAGTACCTTATATTTAAAAGAACATGTATTCACAAAACATTTAACCACCATCAATGGACAGTATATATTAAATACATTTCATCGCACTCTAAATTATTCAAACATGTCTACTTAAAATTCAACATTACTCTAAAAGGCACATGAAAAATAATTTGTATTTTACACATTTCTATCTAAGATGCAACAGGATAGAATGAATCCTTCAAAAATGAAATAACACCAAGTTGATCCCTCATTATACATCTAAGTACTTGATTTGAATATTTTAAGAAATCCGCTGGCATCTTTAGAAATGAAGAGCTTCATTATCTTTTCCAGGATGCCATTATAAATCATACCTAGTTTAGGAAAACAAAAGTTGTGAAAATAATGTACAATTTAAGTTCATATGGGTAAGAAAACATATAGGAAGGTGCTAAAAATAACCTACCCACTATTTAAAGTACTAATATATTGGGTGAAATAGTAATTTGACATAGATTTTCAAATTTAATGTACTTGTACAAATTAAGTCTACATTTAAAAAATCAAATCACTCTTGCCTATGTTCTCCCAGCATTACATTTCACAGGCAAATCTCATGGCCCCCAACGATTCTCTACAGTATGTAGGATGTCTGATGGCTTTAGTTGTATTACACTAGTACCAGCAGAATTTGCCCTTACACGTTCCCCTTAGTAAAAGCTGCCCTCTGTGAAAACTGCAAATGTAAGCTGCTAAGTAGTCAAAAAACTCAAAAAATTCTGAATGTGAAAAAGAAAAAAGGTTTAGTTCGGAATTTTCCTAAGATACTACACAAAATGACAATAAAAACCTCTGAAAAAAGTTTAACGGTCAAATTTTCTTTATACTGGAATTTTCATAAACTATACTAATTATGGTTGCATGGGTGGAGGAGTGGTTATACAATGGAACAGAATCATAAGCGCTTAAATTTTTACAAATTAAAATTACACAAAACTGACTGGAAAAACTGCTATTATAAATTCACTGCAACAAGTGAGATACTGGAGTTTAAAAATATGTAAAAATAAGGCTGTTTTATTCTACTCAGTTGCTAAATGTTAATGAATTTGCCCTCTGACACAACTGAAAAAACAACAATCTTGAACAATGCTGGAAAACACTCTGTTGCAGACTATGTTTACAATTATTTCACGGGCAGCAGAATTTTCAAGGGCAATTTTCTATGTACATTTTTACCTTCAACGCTGATTTTAGAACCGAATCACCAAAGATGTATGCTACATGATTTTTTTTAGATTTTACTTATTTATCTTTAGAGAGAGGGGAAGGGAGGGAGGAAGAGAGGCAGAGAAATATCGATGTGCGAGAGATATACATCAGTTGCCTCTTACTTGTCCCCACTGGGTAACTGAGCCCACAACCCAGGCATGTGTCCTGACTGGGAATCGGACCAATGACCTTTCAGTTTGCAGGTCGGCACTCAATTCACTAAGCCACACCAGCCAGGGCGTATGTTGCACTATTTTGAACCCAGAACTCTTTCCTACAAACATCGCACAGAATTAATGTTCCACAGAACACACTTTGGAAAACCCTGATTTAGTTGCACAAAGTCAATATTCAAGTTAAACGTTCATCATCAATTCTAAGTAGTAGCATGCTCAGATTGCAACATGAATTACTTTATATATAGTAGTTTGTTTTCATTAACCTCAAAAACTTAAAGCTATTATAAGAATGCATTTACTGGAACTCTACTGTAAAAACATTACCTCAAATTAGAATTATAAAAAATGCATTAGACTCCAAGAAGTCAGCAGATTAAAGATGATAAAATTGTCAAAAGGATATATCATAATACATATTTTCAAGGCATTTTAATAAAATATTGAACTCTTAATAGATATAAAATGACAGTGAAATTAAGCATTCAACAACCTAAAGTAATACCTTAACAGTCCATTTTATTTTATTATTTCTATTTCTACAGCCATAACCTAAATTTCAGACTTACTCTCACTACAATACCCATCCTAAAAGACAATAACTTGGAGCGCTAATATCTCTCTCTTAATCAAAAGGCATCCATGGCTTCCCACTGTACATTCAGGTTTGATTTCTCAAAAATAGTGTTTAATATAATCTATAATCTGGCACCAACTTCAAAATTGATAACCCTTAATTCACCTTTACTACTTTTCAACAAATTTTTTTGAGAATCTAGTAGGATTTAGGCACTGAACTAGGTTCCAAAATATAGGATTTGTTAAAAGATTGCTGAACTCTACCTCCAGAGTTTCTGATTCAAAAGGTATGAGTTTACATTTTCCACAAGTTCTCAAGCGATGCTGATGGCTACTAGTCAGGATCTACTCTTGGTGAACCACGGCCCTACTCCAAAGGCCACAAACCAGAAGCCCCCTGGCTGAATAAGGTCCACTCACATGTTTTGTCTGTGCAGTTTTAACATTTTAAATTCTTTGCAAACATCTTAAAACTGGGAAATTGTCACATAAAATACAGATGTCTGGCTAACGCTTGTATGTGAAAATTCTCCTGGAGCTAAACAGTAGCTACCCCATTCAGTCAAGGGAGACATCCTAGTTCAGGCTACCACTGCCCTAACTGGCCCTCTACGCTCAGGTAAAGTCATCTGCCTTGGCGCTGTATTTGTGCTTGTACACAAATGTTCCACTCTTCCCCATTCTCAGCCTTTCTCCATCCTGTTCACTTTGACTTAAACACCTCTTCTCCATCCACTGTACTGCTAAAATTATACCTACCCCATTCAAAAGCTTGGCTTAAAAAATCCTTCCTCAACAAAGCCCCAGCCAAAATAAAAATCCTTAAGTAATATATATACTAAAGATTTAAACTTAGTATGTGTGCTTTAAGAATGTTTTATTTCCACAAATACTAGAATAGCAATATTTACAAAACATATTACAGAATATCATTTAAACCATCAACATATTTTTGCTATTTTTAACCTATGTAAAATTTAAATTTTGTTCATTAAATTTTTTTACTGTGAAATATTTTTCAGAATAAGACACTGAAAATGAATTAAGACATTAAATCTTACAGCCAAGATACATAATGGCTCCAAGAGAATATCATTTTGCTGGACAAAAAACAAAATGGAGGATTGGGTAACTAACACAATTCCCCTGATTTCATAACCTCCCAATTTCAAAAACAATTTTAATGAAACAAACACTTCCAATTTTTTACATGGAGGATATTTTAGTGGATCTTTACTTCTGTGAAGTACCACGGAGAAAAATTATAAAGATTCAGTGCTGGTCCTTGCTCTGCCATAAATAGCTTTTTATATCAAGTAAGTTGAATTCTCCCTGGACTTCAGTTTTATTAGCTTCTAAATTGAAGAGGTAGGGGGAAAAGTGACCTCCAAATACCTTTAATCACTAAAATCGTAAGACTTAATCCTTTCAAAAATGAAAGCATAAAAATCGATGTCATAAAGACAAGTTTTTGTTAATAGACTAGTATTGCTTCTAAATTACAGTGACTTACAAACCTTAAACTACTACAGCTTTCAAAGATCTAATTTAAAATGAAGACAGCTTTGAAAGAATATTTGTGTATATATTTACATATGTTATATTTTAATGATCAAAATATAACATCTTTTGTAAGGCAAACAATTAGACTCCTAGGAAAAAAATTGAGGGAAGACCAAAAAATACAACCATGCCATCTAATCAGTAAGTTTTAAAATATCTCAAAAAGAAAATTAAATAATTAAAAAATGTCGAGAGTTGCCCTGGCTGGTGTAGCTCAGTGGATTGAGCTCGAGCTGCAAACCAAAGGGTCACCAGTTCTATTCCCAGTCAGGGCACATGCCTGGGTTGTGGGCCAGGTCCCCAGTCAGGGGGCGAGTGAAAGGCACCCACACACTAATGTTTCTCTCCCTCTCTTTCTCTCTCCCTTCCCCTCTCTCTAAAACTAAATAAATAAAATCTTGAAAAAAATGTCAAGAGTTTTTTTAATGAGACTAACAATACTTTTTTAAGAGTATGTATTCTGCTTTAAGATGTTCCCAAATGAAAGTAATTTGGCCAAAATTAAAATTATCAAATTGTGAGACTGAAAAAAAACTCAGAAGCTATCATATTCAGGCAGATCATGCCGTAAGCGTATTGCTTTCAGCTTCTCCACTTCAATTTTTGCTTGTAGCAACTCTTCTTCTAGCTGCTGTCTTCTTTTCAATCCATCCCTCTTCTCCTGAACATACAATCCAAAATTTTTTTGATTTTCTAAAATTATCTGATGCTCCTCTTTCAGCATTTGCAGAATCTGAGGGTCATACCCTAATTGTGACCTAAAGTGTCCTCCATTCTCATGATGGAAAAAGTCATCTCTCCTTGGAATAGAAGATGGAGACAATGTCATTCTCACATCAACAGAGGAAAGTGATGGCGACACAGATCTTTCCATAAGATGTACTAATTCATGTTCTTCTCTTTGCTCAAAAGTGTAACTCTGTTCAGAATTTAAAACCAGTGGAGGAGGGGGTTTAATGTCTTCTTCTTGCTTCACCTCCACTGTAATAGCAACTGGATGGTGATCCAACATTACTTGCAGAGAACTGGCACCAGCCTGTGCTTCCTCATCCAAGTTTGCACTACAGCACACAAAAAAGCATTATAAAGTGTCAATCATCAAATGAAGACAAGAGTATATTTATGCCGTACTTTCATGTTTAATATACATTAATCGTCAAGCTCGAAAGCTATGAAAAAAATTATGAAACAAAAAAATCTTAACCATGCCCTGGCTGGTGTGACTCAGTGGACTGGGTGCCGACCTGGGAACCAAAGGGTTGCCAGTTCGATTTCTGGTCAGGGCACATGACTGGTTTGCGGGGCAAGTCCTCATCTGGGGACACATGAGAGGCAACCACACATTGATGTTTCTCTCCTTCTCTTTCTCCCTCCCTTCCTCTCTCTCTCTAAAGATAAATAAATATATATGTTTAAAAATCGTAACCCTTAGAATAACAAAAGCAAGTGGCTAAGTAGCCTTCTGTTTCCCTGCCTCCTTCCCTCACACGCCAGCGCCTTTCCCTGCCCCCTTCTCAGGTCGTTCTCTAGGTGTGTTCCGTTGGCCTCACTCTTTCTCCCAAGCTCCACAGCCCTTCTCTTGCCTCTGTAATTTGTTTCCTCAGCCCATTTCTTCTATGGCTTATTTCTTCAACCTCTGACTTTCTAAATAAAATTTCCCTTATAGTTTGTCTTGGCTCTGAATTGTTTCTTAGCCAGAACTCAAGTACTGAGGTTGTCAAACAAAGTCCAGCCTAACTTGTTCCTCACACCTCCACTACTCTTTGTTTCTATGAGTTTGTGTAGGTTTTGCGTTTGAGTGTTTTTTAAGATTTTTTTTTTAATTTTTAAAGAGAAAAAAAGAAAGGGAGATGATGGAGAGACACATAGATATGTTAGAGATACATCGATCAGTTGCCTCTCGCACACCCCCAAGTGGGGATCTGGCCCAGAACCCGGGCATGTGCCTTGACTGGGAATCAAACCCGTGAGTGACCTTTTAGATCATAAGTCAGCACTCAATCCACTGAGCCACACTAGCCAGGGCTGTTTGAGTTTTTTTAAATTCCACATATAAGTGAATTCACATGGCATTTATCCTTCTCTCTGACTTATTTCACTTAACATAATACCCTCCACACCTATCTTTATTGTCACAAATGGCAGAACTACTTTCTTTTGTATCCAGTATGTATGTGTATACCATATAATCTTCATCCATTTTTTTATTGATAAAAACCTAGGTTGCTTCTGTATCTTGGCTACTGGAGATAATTCTGCGATAAACCTAGGCATGCGTATATCTATTGGAAACTGTTTTTGTCTTCTTTGGATAAATACACAGAATAGAACTGCTTAAAAAAATTTTTCAGGTGAGTAACAAAATTTAGGATCTTAATAACATATACATATAGCTTTCTCCCATCTTTAAGTTATAGATCAGGCTCCTAAAAAGACAGGAAATTTACCTGGCTGGTGTAGCTCAGTGGATTGAGAGGGGGCCTACAAACCAAAAAGCGGTTTGATTCCCAGTCAGGGCACATGCCTGGGTTGCAAGCCAGTTCCCAGCAGGGGACACATGAGAGGCAACCATACATTGATATTTCTCTCCCTCTCTTCTTCCCTTCCCCTCTAAAGACAAATAAATAAGATCTTTTAAAAAAAGAGAGAGAAACTCTTTGGGAAAAAAAGACAGGAAATTTCAAATATTACACAAGGACAAAGAGGTAAATTACTTTTTTTAAAAAGCCATTTTTAATGGTCTCAAAGAGACACCAGTTGTTCTACAAGCCTGACATTTTTTTAATGGCACAGAAAGCCACTCAGTGCATTCTAGGCCTTGGTATCCCCACACCTTAATCCCTGGTCTGCTTGTGCTCTCCTAAACCAATCTAACAATCATGAAAGCTCAAAACTTCTAGGAGGACAATGGAAGACCATCTGTGATTTCTGTATTTATGAAAAAAAAATCAGTGGTATAAATGATAATGGGAAAAATAATTTTTAGAAAATAGCCCTGGCTGGGGTAGCTCAGTGGATTGAGCGCAGGCCTGTGAAGCACACAATCGCGGTTCGATTCCCAGTCAGGGCACATGCCTGGGTTGCAGACCAGTTCCCTGCAGGCCGGTTCCCAGCAGGGGCACGAGGCATCCATACACTGATATTTCTCTCCTTCTCTCCTTCCCTTCCTCTCTAAAGATAAATAAATAAAATATATTAAAAAAATAAAATAAAATTTAAAAAACAGATTTTAAAAATCAAGATTGAGCCCTGGCTGGTGTAACTCAGTGGATAGAGCGCGGGCCTGAGAATCAAAGGATCGTGGTTCGATTCCCAGTCAGGGCACAAGCCTGGGTTGCAGACTGCTTCCCTGCAGGCCAGTTTCCAGCAGGGGATGCACGAAAGGCAACCATACATTGATGTTTCTCTCCCTCCCTCCTTCCCCTCTATAAATAAATAAATAAATAAAATCTTATAAAGAAAAATCAAGATTGTATATGACTTTCAGTATGCCCAACCATCAGGATTATCCTTTCTACCCATTTGCACAGACAGCAGTGTTCAGTCTTGCCCACCCTAAACCGAATGACTCGGCTCTTCTCTCAGCTTTTCAACCACTGTCAGGTCAAGTTCACAGGCCAAGGATTTATATCTACCACTGTATCGCCAGCATGTACCTTAAAACTGTACTTGAAACCTAGCAGGTGGTCATCATATGCTGAATGATTAAATATACCGAAAATGTTTTTTATAATGCAATGTTTTTAAATGACTTACATATGATATATTGAAAGTTTATTAAATTTACATGTAATTTCCATATAACACACCTTCCTACTAGACATCTAGTTTTAGCATAGTTTATTAATATTTATAGTGATGTAAGTGCAATGTACCTTAAGATTCCAGTTTTATAAAAAAAATTTCACATATAAAGCTGTTAATTTAGAATATAATCTTGTTTCTTGAGTTTTTTTAAATTTTTGCTTCTGCCTCACTTAAAAATAAAATAAGAGAAAAAGATTATTAATGAGAAAACACTATATTAACATTGAGAATATTTATAGATGATGAAAAAGTAACATGGTTAAGATGTATTGTACATGGATGATTAATATGTTGAAGTAAGTTGAAGTAGAACATAGGAAAAGAATTGAAATCCCCAAGTGTCACTTACAAATGGCATTAAGTTGCCAAAATTTGCAGATATTTGTCTAACAGATACAAATGAAATAAGATATATAATATGTTACGAAAAAATCTATTTGTAGATCACATAAATTTTCATTTTAATTTTTTACTTTTTTGTCATCTTATGCTTTTCAAAAGCAAAGCAAAAGAAATGTAATTCAAGTTAGTAAGGTTTGCTTTTATTACCATCTCTAAAACCTACAATGGGAAAATGTTCAAACTACAGATGAAAATTTAATTTTTTAAATCTACACAATTACTGTTCCAAATTAGTATGTACAGTAGAGTATAATACTCACAATTAGACACAAACATATTCCCATGTAAATTTAAAATATGCCTTATGTCTGGAATACTGCATTCCATTTTAGTTGAAACATTTACAAGTAAGGCCATTATAGTAAAAATGCATTAGAGAATGTCACAAAAATAATAAACAGAAGGACTTCTAAAATTTTTAAGTATTGATTTTAAAGATCAAATAGATTACAAAAACACAAAATATAATTTGAGATTAGAAAGAAGTAAAAATAAAGGCATAAATCAATGTGTTATGGAGACAGTCTTACAACATAGGTGTGTACTTTTTTTAAAGTAAAATTTATGTATTTACTTTGGAGGGGGAGGGTGGGAGAAAGAGACAGAAACAGCGATGTGCGAGAGAGACTGGTTGCCTCCCTCATGCCCCCAGATAGGGACCTGGCCAGCAACCCAGGCATGTGCCCTAACTGGGAATTGAACTGGAGACCTTTTGGTTTGCAGGTCAGTACTCAACCCACTAAGCCACGCCTGCCAGGACAGGTGTGTATTTTCAAATACATTAAATAATATAAGCAGTAAGATTTTCCTTATTAAGAATGGGAGTTTGGTGAGATTAACAGACATATTTATATAAAAGCATAATTAAAGTTATAAAATAATGATAAACTTGAGATAATTAAGATTCAAGATGATGCCAAGTATAAGCACATTACATATATAAATATATTAAATGAAAATGCTACTATAGAAAAATAGCAGTGTAGACACTAACATAAGCAAGCATTTAAGTGACTTATTTAGAATATTCTTCACTTTAAAATCTGAAAACTGGCCCTGGCTGGGTAGCTCGATTGGTTAGAGCAGCGTCCCTAAACGCCCAGGTTGCAGGTTTGATCCCTGGTCAGGGCATACACAGCAATGAATCAATGATGCATAAATAAGTGGAACAACAAATCGATCTCGACCTCTCTCTACCCCTCATCTCCTCCCTCTCTCTCTCTAAAAATCAATCAATATATTTTCTTAATCTGAAAAATTATTTACACAGTAGGTATAAAAATAGATTAAATCAATTACTTTTATCAGAGAAATTTAGTTGTCTCAAAAGATTGCATATGTAATACACACAAATAATCAAAATATAAGTAGATACTCATATATTATTTTTCTTCTATACTCACTGTATTATTAAAATATGTATCTATTGCTTCTCAGCCTTTAGGCTAAGATCATATGTAGTGTCCATTCTTACCAGTTTAAAATAAGTATCTAACTAAAACTACAGTTCTATATGTAGTTTTTAAATTACAAAAGCCTATACTTAATACCCAAAAGACAGTTTTATACTTGTACTGCAAAAGCCACTTTTCTCTATGGTTTGAGGGTAGGGGGAGATTTAATAAGTAGGAAAGTATAGAATGGTCTTACTGTGAAGTTTTTTGGACATCCAGCACATTAGAATTTAATCCTTTGTAATCACAGTGAACATTTTAAGCAGTGGTCCCACAACTTAATACACTGTAGATCCATATCCCGGATTCCCACTAGTGATATTTTTTTTACTATGCTATCAACTAGAAATAAGCTGGGCTGAAAAAATTATACTAGTAAATTATCAAAATAACAAACACATTTGCTAAAAAGTTTTTTTCCCTTGTGTCTCTCTTAACTTCAAAAGATTTCACAGGTTATCTACAATTCTGCTTATAAAATAACTCTCCCACTAACAGGAGCACACTGTGAAGCTTTGTTTGAAAGGTCTCTCAACTAACAGTAAGTTCATAACGTGTAAATTACCCTAAATGATTCAGAAGAATGCAGCTGCCATTTTTGTCTTGTGCCAGGGGTTAAAATTTCAATCAGTAGTAAAATAAGAGTTTTTAAGATTCCCAGGGAAGTAGTTAATGTGGAGCATAAATTTAAACAAAGAAATGTTTCTAACCCTCAATGAACCCAGTTGCTCTTACTGGTGTAGTAAAATTCATATTCTGATATCCTTGCAAAGCAGTTGGAGAAATCCTGCCCATTCCTGTGTGACCCAAGATCAAAGTGACACTATACCATTAATTAATAAAAACACAAAAACTGAATTTTATTAAGTAGTTGAATCCCTAATTAGGTACCAATTCCTTTCCTAGTGTTTATTTTAAATTTGTTAGAAAAAGAATTTAAACTGTTTTAATATATACAATAATACCATTGATAAGTTTACATAGTTATTGATTTTAGTTTTTTAGCTCAAACAATATTCAACAAAAGATTAACAATTTCAAATAAAAGCAAGGGTTCCGTTTCTCCTGAAACTAACTTTTTACAAAACTGAAAATTCCAATGAAATATAATCTTCAATGAAATTTTAAAAGATCTCTCTCAGCTAATTAAATAATTTAATTTTAAAGCTTAAAAAGTTTATGAGGTGATGTTGCAAATTTCATCCCATTCATTCCTCCCTAACCTTCACTTTTCAGAAACTACAAAGGGAGGGAAGGGGGAAGGGAAGACAATAAAAAGTGGCTTAAATGAAATGCAGCAGAAAAATTCCTTATAGCCTCACTTTTCTTTTTCTAGAATACAAAACAAAGACACTATTCATTGCTCCCGTGTGGGGATGCTTACTATGCATATCACTATCACAACTAAGCCAGAGCCCAATAGATAGGAGGCGCCATAATTTTCCACAACAAAATAAAATAAAGCTTACCTTTGTATGTGGTTCCTGTCTCTTACCAGGCAAAAACTGGAAATCTGGGGAATCATCTCCATAACTTTCTTGGTTGGCTCAGAAATATTGCCTTTAAAATCTGATTGGGTGTCTTTTTGCTGCAATAGCTCCTGTTTGGCATATTCTTTGAGCCTTTTGTAAAGGGTGCGCAGGCCCTGCGCTGTTCGTGGAGGGCGGTCTACTCCAATTGCATTATAGTTAACTGCTATGATATCCCAACACCTATTCTTTTCCACTATTACTGAATGTTTATTAGTGTGTTCTTCAAGAATTTTCACATGTGGCTTCACAAGCTTTAGCAAATCAAGCTTTTCAGATAAGGTAAAATTGGAAGATCTAGCCTTTCCTACCATTGTTCTTTTCAAATTAAGTAGGCAGTTTCTGAAACCACCATGCAGCCTTCAGCTCTGCTCAGCTCTTTTCACAAACGGTAAAAGATCAGGCTTAACTAGGCTAGCCTCATTTAGGCCCACGCCTACAGGGGAGGGTTTATTAAAATTCCTCCAGCTTAAGCTGACGCAGGTTCAGGAAATCTGCTTAAGCCAAGCCTGACCTACATAAAGCTTCTCACTGAAAAAGACAGGAAGGCACAAGCAAAACACACTTGTGTATAAAGAGAACAGCTCAAGATAGAATTTAATACACAAAGGTCTAGAGATAAGCATGGAACACAGCTAAAAATTAGCTAGTTTGGTGAGAATATCAAATTTCCACAGTGTGCCTAGCTGATAGATTGAAACTGCACTGCAGTAGCACTTTAATAAAAACAAAAGAGGAACTGTTGTGCTATTTGTTTACAAACCCAGTAGAGAGAAAAAATAAAACTGAAAATATGAGTGGTGAGTGTAGTGATTCCTAACTGAGCGAGGCTCTAATCACTGTTAATGAGCTGCATTCTCTCTTACAAAATCTGCATAATGCTGGTCCTGCTGTCAATCAGGAACTGCATATCCTCTAGCTAGTTAGGTTACACCCGACTCAGACTCCACGGTAAAGCTAAGCTTCTCCTTCATTTGACAATCGACAGTATCCACAGTGTACTTTTATTCAGTTACTTAAGAAGAAATTTTTGTCGAACACTGAACCTAAAAAGCAGATAAAACACCATGTTTTTAAAGCAATGGATTATTCCAGCCGTAACATGTGTGAATATGCTAGCCTGCTTGATCATGTGTAGAAATCACCATCTACAGTGACAACGGCATAATCTCACTTTAAGGCTGCACACAACAAAATCGCCTTCGCTATTCTTAAGAAGTGGGATTTTTATTTAGCTATAGTCACACAATCTGGACTATGAAAGGAAATGGTTAGTCTAGCCATTTGCAAGGCCACCATTTTGCAGGCTTAGAATACATCAATGTAAGAAACATTCAAACCTTCAAGAATTTTTGCGTTTATTTGAGCCCAACTGATGACAATTGCCGGAAAGCAAAGATCCCAATAGATTGAGAAAATGCTCCCAAGATTGGCAGTTTTACACCCGATTTTATACGTTACAATCAAAGGCAGAGAGGGAAAGGGGGCTACGTGAAATTCATCACGGATAGATTAAGGAGGCAGGAAAAAGCAAAGCGGGGAAATCTCTGGGACTGGGTGAAAAGTAAAAGGAAGGCACATACAGTACTTCTTTTACATAGACAGGTGTAGGACAGTTAACACTTAGCAAATTAACATGATCATAAATAATAACAGTGAGCAGATTTGTGGTCCCTGCTCTAGTGCTTTGCGGGGTGGGCGGGGGAATAATAATTTGATATTCCAAAGTTACTATTATCAGGTATATTAATATAGATGCAAAAAATAACTGGCTCAGTTAAAGTAAAGATTGACCTTTGTTAGGCAACACTACCAACCTAGGACATGCCTCCCCGCTGTAAACTGCTTTCAGTCAGGAAGTTTTCATTTCAGACCAGCCTGTGTGGTTACTTTAGCTCTCTGAGTTTGTCAGGCCGCCATGCAGGCCTCCCCTGACCCTGTCAAATTTAGTACGTGACCCCTTTTTCATTCATAAATATATTTTCTAATCTGTCTGAAAATATGATGAATAAAAACATATGCAAAATAAGCCTATTTTCTCCCAATACAGTACATGTTTCTCCAGACAGGAGAATGAATTAGAACATACTTGAACACAGTTCCACTCAACCAAACAATTACTGAACACCCATTAAAAATGCTCCCTGCACCCTGGCTGGTGTGGCTCAGTGGATTGAACACTGGCCTGCAACCCAGTTCGATGAACTGTTAGGGCACATGCGTGGATTGCAGGCTAGGTTCCCCGTTTGGGGGTGTGCAAAGCAACCACACATTGATGTATCTCTCCCACACTGATGTTTCTCTCCATCTCTTCTCCCACCCTTCCCCTCTCTCTGCAAATAAATTTTTTAAATCTTTAAAAACAAAAAAACATGCTCCCAAGCACTGTGCAAGGCCCAAAGGAAACCAAAGGTGAATGTAGCTAAAAACAGCCCCTAACCAGGAAACTGTGTAGTTCTGCAGAAATGCCATAAGTTTTCAAATCCTAGTTTTTAATTCTTTCAGTGGAAGAGAGGCCAATTAAATGTACTGAGTTCTCACAATAAGCCAGGTCAGGTACAAGAAGCGTTAAATGTATATGCATCAGGAAAAAATGTGAGAGACTGCAGGGCGTTCTACAGAATGCTCGGTGTTGTCTGGCAAACCCTACTGAGTAATCTTGACTTGTTAGTAGCCCTAGCCTTCCACTGCCTTTGGGCAGTTTTATTGCTCAGTGAATTGTAGCAAATAGTAATGAAAATTATTCTTGTCCATAGAGATAGGAATTGAAAAATTGACGATCACAGATACTCAAAGAAAAGTGAGAACACAAGATTTATACTGTCCTTAAATAATATTTTGTTATTTTTGGAAGAAATACAGATATTGTGTTAAGAAATTAAATACTAATAAAAATATTAAAAACCATTCAATCTCACTAAATCAAGGAAATGTATATGAAAAATAATTTTCAGTCATAAGAGTGACCAAATTCTTAAAGACAGAAAATGTCAAGAGTGGATTACGGAGGCAGGGCAAAGAACACTCTTCCATACTGTTGATGGAAGTATAAAAATAGCATTCTGGATGTTGACCTGGGAGTATCCATTAATACTTTACATGTGTAAAACCTCCCCAAACTGTTAACCTAAAAATAAATTGAGACAGGGAAGCCAGGACAAGCAAAACAGGGAAGCTGAGACAAATGGTTAAACAAGCGGTTTGAAGTCATCTAGTAAATCCAACAGCCCTAAATCAAGAATACCTGAGAGTACAGTAAATGTTTTACATTTCTCCTCCCCAGCTAGAGGGTAAATAGCTTAAATAACCCTACTCAGGGAGTTAAATAACAAAAACCCAATTCGTGTTATTTGCCAACCAGGCCCAAGGGCAGAAGAAGTCAAAAGAATAAATCTCATTTTGGCACATCAGCATAACACTGATGAATATTTTATTGAGACCCTCCTCTAAAACCACCCCTAAATCCCCAGACTTTAAAACCCCTCAAAACAAAGGTCTCAGCAAACAGCACACGCGTGTGCTCTGGAATGTGCCCTCACCTTGCGCCTTTCACCTTCTTCTACCCCCACAGGCACGCATCTCCGAAAGTCCAAGGAACCAACCCCGCAAGGTTTGCAACGCAGCAGCAATGGGAAGCAGCAGTTCTTCCTGGGCTAACCTCCTGACCCCCCTTTCCTCTAAGAAGTGAGCTAAACCAGACCGGCCAAGGCTCATTTCTTTCCTATAACGTTTTCAGAGAGCCGAAGCAGCTCTGCTTAGGCTCCCCTGTTGCTTCCAGTGTCCTAAGCCCATCTTTGTTTCACTGCCCCCGGCTTTAATAAACATCCTGTGAAAATCATCGTGAAATCTTTCCTGACAAAGACGAGAATCCACACACTACTAGCCGTCCATAGGCGGACCCACTCAGGGCCAGGTCCCCTTTCCAGTAACACAACGACCAAAGTGTTTGAGATCCAAAATAATAGCTATTCATTAATCACTGATTCAGGCAGAAACCCAAATAGTCTTCCGATTAGGAGATAAAGGCAAGGGGTATTTATGAGACAGGAAAGGGGAACAGTTACATGAACAGGAGCAAGGGTGGTAAGCTAAGGAAGAAATTTCTCTAGGTGCAGATAAGCTAATATAGTGATGCTGATTCTAAAAATGGCTTCAATTTTCAGCACAGTAGTCATAATAACTGCTTTCTTGTTATCTTTGCAAACAGTTCTTTGGAACCCAATGTTGCTTTAGGCTCAGTCCAAGTGTTATTTTGCCCAGTTTTAACATTCCAGAGGTTTGGGGAGCGAGACAGGCAAAGCAGTTCCTCTGAGATGATAGCTCTGGCTTCAGTTGAAAGGGGCTCCCTTTGAGACAGGCCAGTTAGCCAGGACAAGTGGAGTCCGGGAACTCAGGCAGCTGAGCAAACTGACAGGTCAATTTACAGCCAGACACAAAAGGTCACCTCCCTAGAGATAACATCTAGGCCTCACTTGTGTTTAGGCTACAGGCCCAGAAAAGCAGCAAAATAAGGTGGGAAATGCAGGACCAGCTGCAGTGACTAGTGACCCCCTGCCCTGTCACTAACCCTGAAAGAACACACCTTGAAACCGATAAACAGCTACTGAAACCCTCTCCTGAGACCTTCTCTGCAAGGGAGAGATAAAATTCCCCTAAATTCCCATCTGCAAGAGAGATAAAACAGTCAAGAGGAAGGGCAGATGAGCACAGGCTCCCTATGGAGAGCAGCCTATGACACTCCCTTCCCCCTCTGTCCCTCTCTTCTTCCCTCACAGGCAGGCATCTCCTAAACTCTAAGGGTCCCTCAAGACTTACAACCAGGGGAGCAATGAGCATTGGCAGTTGTCCCAGGCTAATCCCTGAACCTGTCCCAAAGGCCCCCTTTTCTCTGACTTCCCAGTGAGTTAAAGCAGCCCGGCCTCGGCTGTCTCTGGTGGCTTTTTGTACCGTAAACCCTTCCTGTTTCACTGTCCCCAGCTTTAATAAGTATTATCTTCACAGTCCTCTAAAAAGTACCTGGACCTGTACTGGGAAATTTTTCCTGCACAAAAAAACCCACACACTACCAGCTGGCCCTAGGCAGAGCCACTCAGGGCCAGGTCCCCTGCCTGGTAACACCTTTATATAGGTACAGAAAGTAGATCCACACAAACGTATGAAAACGCACTCCAAAAAGGTCTAGAACTCCACTGTCCAGCACAGTAGCCACGAACCACATGTGCATACTGAGCTCTCCCCTCTCTGGAAAATGGGGATAGAGTTGAAAATTATAAGCTTCTAATCATGGAGCCCACCAAAAGTCAACTCACGGACACAAAAGACATTCCTATCACCCAGGAAATTCCGAGGGATTCAGCAACTCTGTC